GGCATTCTGACTTTGTATCCTAAGGCTGTGGTGTGCAGGAAGATGCTCAGAGAATTGTAACCGCAGCTCAGTGACATCTGGGACACAGATGCAGCCCATATGACCAACCCGCTCTATGTGCGTTCAGCATTCCTCTCTCCCAAGAGAAGACCTGATTGGGTCTGTTTGTCACTGTCCCAGGGCATGGCTTTGCAATGCCACCTCAGAGACAGGTGGCCTACCCCAGGTCCCTCCTGTAAACATTGGTTTTGGCTTGAACGTCTACTCCTGATCCAGTCAGGCACGACCCAATGAGCAGGGAATTTTTTGACAGCGATGGCAAGAACCACAGATCTGTGAAGAATGATGGGAGTTTAGACAGAGAAAGGAGCCAAGGGCCTGGCAGTCACCTTTTAGCTCTGGAACATCTGCTCAAGTGGTCATCCGTCCCCATGCTTTCTCCTTCCACAAACTCTTCCATCCTCTTGGGCAAAGAAAGATAGGTTTGTAAAGATTTTTCAGTCCCCAAACTGAGTGCAAAGTGCATTTTTTGCTTCAAGGCCTCCTCAGAATAGCAGCTGCCCAAGAGCAACTGAGCCCAGAAATGTCAATTTCTCTTGGAGCAACACTTAACCAATGGGATTTGAGAGAGAAATGTCTTAGCCTCCCATTCTTCAGCCTGACAATTCTGAAATGTGTTCTGGAAGCTTCTAGAGTTCCCGTAGGGTTGAGTTCCCTTTGTACAGTAATGTCTATGGTGGGTTTTCCTCCTTTCCTGTCCATGGTTTCCTCACTCTGATTGCAAATACCTAGCACACCTCTGTCTCAAATTCTTCTTTTTTTGGGGGGGGGGGGACTCAAGCTGGGGAATCTGGTGTAGAAGGTAGGTGGTGGAGAACAGGTGCGCATGGCCCTGTGGTCCTGCAGATGGCTTGCCGGCAGGATGGAAGATGACAAGAAGATGGTCAAAGTGTCTCTCTACAGAGCAGGGCCTAGGATGAGTCCTGTTGCCCAGACTGAAAGGCAACCCTAACAAGAATATAAGCTCCTGAAGAGTGTGCGGCCTGCCTCACTTCACAAACTCTGCAGACAGTAGGTACCCAAAGGCAAATGAATGAAATTCATCTTTGTTACAAGATTTTTGTAAAAAATTTGTTCAACAAACATTTGCCATTCAATCACTCTAGCAAGTGTTAGATGGTGGTTACACAATCCAAGTTCAGGGGTATTTAGCTGCTACTAATATTTATTTGCCTTCATCTTCTTTTTAAAAATATTTCGTTTTTATAGAGGTAGAGTTACAGACGGTGAGAGAGAGAAATAGAGAGAAAGGTCTTTCTTCCATTGGTTCACCCCCAAAATGGCTGCTACAGCCAGAACTATGCCGATCCGAAGCCAGGAGCCAGGTGGTTCCTCCTGGTCTTCCATGCGGGTGCAGGGCCCAAGCACTTGGGCCATCCTCCACTGCCCTCCCTGGCCACAGCAGAGAGCTGGCCTGGAAGAGGAGCAACCGGGACTAGAACCCGGTGCCCATATGGGATGCTGGCACCTCAGGTGGAAGATTAGACAAGTGAGCCATGGCGCCAGCCCCTAAAAATATTTCTTTCTTTTTTTTTTGACAGGCAGAGTGGACAGTGAGAGAGAGAGACAGAGAGAAAGGTCTTCCTTTGCCGTTGGTTCACCCTCCAATGGCTGCCGCGGCTGGCGCGCTGCGGCCGGCGCACCGCGCTGATCCGATGGCAGGAGCCAGGAGCCAGGTGCTTTTCCTGGTCTCCCATGGGGTGCAGGGCCCAAGCACTTGGGCCATCCTCCACTGCACTCCCTGGCCACAGCAGAGAGCTGGCCTGGAAGAGGGGCAACCGGGACAGAATCCGGCGCCCCGACCGGGACTAGAACCCAGTGTGCCAGCGCCGCTAGGCGGAGGATTAGCCTAGTGAGCCGCGGCGCCAGCCCTCTTTCTTTCTTTTTTTTTTTAATCTGAGAGGCAAAATGAGAAAGAGAACAGAGAGAGAGAGAGAGAGAGAGAGAGAGAGAGAGAGCTTTCATCTGCTGGTTCACTCCCAATTGCAGAACCAGCCAGAGACAGTATAGGCAGAATCCAGGAGCTGGGAACTCTGTCAGGGTCTCTCATGTGGGTGGTAAGGGCCCAGATACTTGGGCCATCTTCAGTTGCCTTCCCACACGCATTAGCAAGGAGCTGGATCAGGACTTGAACCAGCATTCTGATATGGGATTCTGACATTACACACAGCAGCTTAACCCACTATGCCACAGTGGCGGCCCTTGCCCTCATCCTTAATAACCTATATACTACATCTGCCTGCTACTATCAAAGTGCAGAACTTGGAGCATCTCAAGACATAGGAATGGTGTAAGAATTTTACTAGTGGGGCTGGTGTTGTTGCACAGTGAGTTAAGCCGCTGCCTGCAATGCCGGCTTCCCATACGGGTGCCAGTTCAAGTCCTGGCTGCTCCACTTCTGATCCAGCTCCCTACTAATGCACCTGGGAAAGCAACAAAAGACAGTGCAAGTGCCTGGGCCGCTGTCACTCATGTAGGAGACCTGGGTGAAGCTCCTGGCTCCTGGGCTTCAGCTTGGCCCAGTCCTGGCCATTGCAGCCATTTAGGGAGTGAACCAACAGATAGAAGATACCTCCCACTCTCTTTCTGTTTCTCCCTCTCTCTGTGACTTTGGCTTTCAGGTTTTTAAAAAGATTTATGTATTTATTTGAAAATCAGAGTTGCACACAGAGAGGAGAGGCAGCGAGAGAGAGAGAGAGAGGACTTCCATCCACTGGTTCACTCCACAGATGGCCACAATGGCTGGATCTATGCCGATCAGAAACCAGGAGCCAGGAGCTTCTTCTGGGTCTCCCATGTGGCTGCAGGGGCCCAAGGAGTTGGGCCATCCTCTACTGTTTTCCCAGGCCATAGCAGAGAGCGGGATCAGAAGTGGAGCAGCCGGGACTCAAACTGGCACTCATATGGTATGCCAGCACTGCAGGCAGAGGATTTACCTGCTATGGCACAACGCCAGCCCCCAAGTAAATAAATATTTAATAAAAAATGGATTTTTACTGGTGAGAATGCTAATGGGAAAGTGCTATTTAATGTAACAATTAGCTTAGAAAAGAAAAATATCCTTCGGGTTTTATTTGCAACTGAAAACCATCCTTAGTCATCTTTAAATTAATGACAAAATTATGTCCTTGTATACCTAGCACATGCTTTTAAAATTTTTTTTCAAATTTATTTGAGAGGCAGAGAGAGAGAAAAGGGAAGAGAAGGGAAAGGAAGGGGAGGAGAGGAGAGGAGAGAAGCAGAGAGAAAAAGAGAGTGTGTGCACACTTCCATCCACCAGTTCACTCCCTAAATGCTCACAATGTCCCAGAATGGGCCAAGCTGAAGTTCGGAGGCAGAGGCGTAATCCCAGTCTCCTGTGTGTGGCAGGGACTCAATCACTATAGCCTCTCACTACTGCCTCTCAGCAGCTGCATTGGTGAGAAGCTGGAATCAGGAGCCAGAGCCGGCAGCAAACTCAGGCACTCCCGTATGGGACACCAGCATCTTAACCACTGGACAAAAGGCCAGTCCCTGCGGCATTCATTTATACACATTCATTGTCATTGTCGAGCACTGGGTTAGGTCTTGGTGAAACCAAGACGGGTTTGATGATGAAGGCAAGATATATATAAAATGAATGTGAAGTGCCGTGATAAAAACTACAGAGAACGCCACAGGGGGAAGCTGCCGGCTGCAGGGAGGGAACAGGAAGACAGGAAATAATTTCTAGTGGCGCTACCTGAATGGTCTAAAAGCATGAATCAAAAGGTAGCTGGGGAAAGACTCTGCACCAGATGGAGCAGTAGGCACTGGCACTACTTTAGCCATATCATGACCATTGCATTAGAAGTCCGAAAAAATGTGCTAATTACCTTTTTTCTAGTACATATTAAAACATGTATTAAATGATTACCCGTCTACTGCTTTGGAGTCGTGTCCTGTATTTATCAATTGTTTGTGTTGTACAACACACTCTAGGAAAAACCAAATTATTGGAACTGTACATGCATTCCAGCATATGCCTTTCCTGGCTTCCAAGAGAAGCAACGACTTCGAACTTCTATTTCAGCTGCTCTTCTTTAAAAATATAATTATACTTAACAATACACAAAATAATAAATTTCAAGATCATTGAAGCCTTAATGCGCTATTTTCACAACTTTCGGAGAAGGAACCCAAACTTTTGTTCTGAATCCGCATCTATTGTCATGAGGCAAGATACCGTCGACAGAATTATGTGAAAATCACATTATTGTTTAGTTTGTTGAAAACCTAAAGGAAATGCGAACCATCCACCCGGGCTTTTTAAAATCCGGAACGGTAAGTGCAAAGGCGCTGGGGAGCAGATAAGGGGTGACACCAGAAGGCGGGAAAGGAATCGGGTCCGCCCCGCAGCGGACAACTCCGGATGGACGGAGGCAGCGTTTCCTTCCGGCAGCCAAATGGGCTCTATTTGTTAAGCCAAATTTAGGTCAGGTATCCGTGGCGGCGAGAAAGCTCAGGGAAAAGCAAGCGCTCACGGCTTCCTCAAAAAAGTCATTCGCGTTCAACACACAAGCGCCAGGAAACGGAAGCATCACGGCGACCCCACTCAAAGGACCAAGTGCAGACGGCCGACCGCCAGCCAGGCCCCACCCCAGGCCCCGCCCCGCCCCGCCCCGCCCCGCCCCGCCCCGCCCCGCCCCGCCCCGCCCCGCCCCGCCCCGCCCCGCCCCGCCCCGCCCCGCCCCGCCCCGCCCCGCCCCGCCCCGCTCCGGCCGGCCGCTAGGCGCAGCCGCTAGGGGTCGCTGCGCGCCGTGCGGGAGACGTGGACGTCCCCCCCGCCCCTTCGCTGCCCCGCCCCAGAGGCCGGCGTTAGCGCCAAAATCAAACCCGCTCCGCCCCGGCCGCCAGCGCACGCCCCGCCACCGGAAGCCCAGCAGCCGGCGCCATGGTAAGAGCCCAGGGCCGGGTCCCGCCGTGGCGTGGAGTTGCGAGCCGGCGCCGGCTGGGCCCGCGGGCTCGCCGCAGAGGTGCGGGGGCGTTCGCAGCCCCTCGGTCTCTGCCCTCGGGGCCCTTGCGGGCGGGCTCGGCTAGAACCTGGGGCGCGTTCGCGAACGGGACCCCGGCATCCCGCGAACTCGGTGGTTTGTAGACGCGCCAGTGCCCCAGGCGCCCGTGGACCGGTTCGCCCCGGGGCAGCCCCTCGAGAGGAACCGGGAAAGAAGGGTCGGGCGAGGCGGCGGCGGGACCCGGGAGCCCGCGCCGGAGGGCCCCGCGGCGCGCTCCTTGGGGACCCGCGGTTGAGGGGGCGTCCGCACGGTGGTAGGGTGGAGAGCGCCTTTCCCACCTGCTCCACCCTGGCGCAGCCTCGGTGTTCGCCCGTGGAAATCCACTGGTTTCCAGCGAAGGGCGGGGGGCGCCGGGACCCCTGCCCCCGCCTGGTAGCGCTGTGCGTGCGAGGGCTTTCTGTGCACAGGGTCGTTTTCATGCACCTTCCGTCTCGGCCCCCGCGCCCTTTTTGGCTTCTGATGGCGTCTGATGCAGTGGAGCTGAGATTTTAATGTCTTAATTTAGTGGCACGGCCGTTGTGCCGTCGAGCGGAGAAGGGTGGCCGCGGGTCCACGTGTGCGTTATTTATTTGCAAATGCTTGTCCAGATGCAGTTCCTAACAACGGGTAACGGCTTCCTTGTGGTTACACTAACGACCCAGCCACCTGGGCGTACGCGGGAAGGTCGAAGAAAGCAAACGGGACCCCAGTGCAGTGCGCTGCCAGCGCTGTGTTAGCGGATTGCTCCAGGTAGACAGCTCCTGGTCTGTGCTCGCGGATCGCCTGACGCTACACAAACTCTTCAGATGCTTACCTCCAGTATTGGGGCAGCATGGCCCAGATTAGAATAAAACTAAAAGACGTGTAATTCCTGGTTTTTTGTTATGTGATGAACAAAGTTCATGTTGGTCCAAGATAAACTTTTGTTCTCTTTCCTGATTGTTTTGATTTAGTTGGGCCTGTTAGTGCTTTTTTACATTTTATTTAGTAGAATGCCATCCGCCTTCGCCTGGGTCACTCCCCGCAGGCCTGCAACAGCTGGGGGCTGGGCCTGAGAGAAGCCAGCGTCCCGGAACTCAATCCAGGCTTCCCACGGGGGTGGCAGGAACCCAGCGACAGGAAGGAAGCGTTGCCCGCTGTCTCCGGGGTGTGCGTTAGCGGGAAACAGCAGAGCTGGGACTCAGGCCCCCGGCACTCTGATGGGGGAGGCCAGCATCCTAACCAGATGCCAAACTGTGCTGCTGGGCGTGTTCTTAGAAACCAAGAAGCACCGTGCTCAGCTCGGCGGGCAGCAGGTGACGTGTGCTTTCAGAATTTCTCAAAAATCCCGTTGTAATTAGTCAACCAGGCTGATTTTAGGAATTCTGTAACTCCTCCGAGAAAGTTTTTTAGTCGTAGGATTTTTTTTTAAGTGTTTTAAAATAATTAGGTCGACGAGGAAGGCTTATAGTCCTGGGGTCACGTTTTGAGTCCCTTTACTGAGCTGGCTGCATCTAACTTGTACCAGCAGCTGAATTCTTCCAGTCTTAAGTGAGTCCGCGTTCAGTCTGCTTTTGGAGAAGTTTCTAGAAAGATGTGTTAAAGTGGCATCCTTTTACATCAGTTACTGTATGTAACCCTGGCTGTGGTGCTCTGTTGTGGTTCGTCTTTAAACAGAATGATTTCTAGAGGTAATAGACTAACCAGCAAAGCACCCGGAGGTGGAATCATTGAACACAGCTCATCCACTTTTGTGTGACTCACAGCAGCTGAGCCTAGCGCTGCCTAAGTGCTGCCCTGATGCTGGCTGCTTCTCACTGCCCGCCCCAGGGTAGGGTGAGCGATCTGCCTAGGAGCTGTTCATAATACCAGAAGTTAGGAGCTTTCTCTAAGGACTTTGCAGATCCTGGTGTTTACTGCTGATGCAGCCACAGACTGCTGTCCTAAGGGGATTCTTACTGCCACACAAGTCCACACATGGCCTTCAGATTCTAGGCTGAGAAGAGCAGGGTTGTCAACCTCAACCGTGGGGCACAGTTAAAGCACCTGGAAAGGATTTTTAAAAATGTGCCTGCCCAGGCATCCTCCAGAGATTTTCCTTCGGTCCATACAGGATGTGCCTGGAGACCTACTAGAACAGAGAAATGAGCTGAAGGGGCCTTCTGACGGTGTGGAGCCCATGGCTGCCTTTTTTTTTTTTTTTTTGACAGGCAGAGTGGACGGTGAGAGAGAGACAGAGAGAAAGGTCTTCCTTTTGCCGTTGGTTCACCCTCCAATGGCCGCTGCGGCTGGCGCATTACGCCGATCCGAAGCCAGGAGCCAGGTGCTTCTCCCGGTCTCCCATGGGGTGCAGCGCCCAAGCGCTTGGGCCATCCTTCACTGTACTCCTGGGCCACAGCAGAGAGCTGGCCTGGAAGAGGGGCAACCGGGACAGAATGCGGCTCCCCGACCGGGACTAGAACCCGGTGTGCCGGCGCCGCAAGGCGGAGGATTAGCCTAGTGAGCCATGGTGCCGGCCCTGCTTTATTCTTACTGAAGAGCAGTGTGAAGGAAGGCTCACAAGGCCGTCCTGGACCCTGGCTCTCTGTGGGTTTCTGGCGCTGAGACTTCGCTGACTGATCTCTGCAGGCGATCCTTAGTTCTCAGCATCCCTTGTGTGTGGGGGCCTGTGAACCTGAACAGTCTCAGATTTTACAGTTGTGGGCTTTAGATATGTGGCCTTGAAAGTAGTGCTGGCCTTTATGTCTGCTATGTCTATCCTGGCACTAAGCTCCATGAACTTTTGGAAGTACCCTCATGTATCCCATTAGGGGTGATTGGCTATTTCTAGATGGTTGGAAGCCACCAAAGGGTTCCAAGCAAGGCGGAAGCGTGGTCACATTTGCACTTCAAGTGTGGGATATGAACTTAGAGTGACACACAGTTTAGTTAGAGGCCTGAGGGTATTTGTGGACTAAGGTAGATGAGGGTACCTCAAAGTTTTTGTGGACAATGGGATTAAAAGATAAGAGGTGTTTTTTGCTGTGAAATAATTTTGAGATCCGTGCATACATATTGCAGGAGGTAGATAATAAAGGCAGGAACTGAGGTAGTAGGGATGGAGCAGACAGCATAGATGGGAGATACTTGAATGCTGAAGTTGACAGAATTTGGTGACTGAGTGGGTGTGGGGTAAGAGATAAAGGCACTTACACCTGCCAGGCCTCTGACATGAGTGACCTGATGGTACCTGAGACTGCAGGGGTGGAGAGTAGCTGTAGTTGGGGAAGACTGAAGTTTAGACTGCCTGAGTTTGGAGTCTGTCCAGCACACAGGTAGATAGGTGAGACTGAAGGTCAGGGGCTATGAGAACTTGAGGGGTTCAGAATAGGTGCTCAGGAAAGCTAGGTGCAGGAGTTAAGCCGCCACTTTCGACACAAGCATCTCATGAACACAGGTTCAATCTTCGACTGCTCCACTTCTGATCCAGCTCCCTGCTGATGCGCCTGAGAAGGCAGTGGAAGATGGCCCAAGTGCTTAGGCCCCGGACACCCGTGTGAAAGACCTGGAAGAAGCTCCTGGATCTCAGCTTTGGCCTGGCCCAGGCCCAGCTGTTGCAGGAGTGAACCAGCAGGTGGAAGGTTCCCTTTTCTTCCCTCTCCTCTCCTGTCAACTAAATTAATCCTAAAAAAAAAAAAAATAAATAAATAAAAGGAAAACTTTAAAAGACAAGGAAAGCTGATGAGATCAAGGGAAAGGTATGCAGAGATGAGATCAGTAGCTGAGCAAGAGGAAGATGTAGACTTTGAGGCCATGATCTATCCGCATGATTTGTCAAGACACATTTGCTCATATTATTGCTGTAGAAATGAGACTGTGTGTTTCTAGGTTTTACAAGATGAGTAAAGTCTTGTATACTCTGGCATGGGTCAGAGTGGCCATTCCTAAACCCTATCCCCATCTATTGTAGCTTCACATTTTCTGGTGGAGTTTTTGTTTAGATAAGATCAGTCTTTTGTTTTTCTTTTTTTTTTTTTTTTAAGATTTATTTATTTATTTGAAAGTCAGAGAGAGAGGTCTTCCATCCACTGGTTCACTCCCCAATTGGCCACAATGGCCGGAGCTGTGCTGATCTGAAGCCAGGAGCTTCTTTCAGGTCTCCCACGCAGGTGCAGGGGCCCAAGGATTTGGGCCATCTACTGCTTTCCCAGGCCATAGCAGAGAGCTGGATCAGAAGTGGAGCAGCTGGGTCTCAAACTGATGTCCATATGGGATGCTGGCACTGCAGGCAGTGACTTGACCTGCTATGCTACAGCGTTGGCCCCAAGTGGGTTTTTTTTAACAAACAATTTTTATTCTCATGATTCCACGCAGTTTTTGAGAAGGTTGTAAATAACTTGAACATTTGGGTAGAGAGCTACAGATGATGGTTTTCAGTCTTTTGGGTATCTGCAAATTTTTGGATTGAAGATATGAACTCTTGTTTTGTTTTGTTTTAAATTAAACTTCAACTTTGTGTGTATATTCTATTTATAACAAATGGTAAAATTGACCAACTCTCATTTTTCAGTTACCTATCTTAGTTTCAGTTAATTTTCTTGGTTTCAAATTGGCCCAAAAGTTTTTCAGAATAATGGTAATCTGAGTAGCCTTCCATTGTCCACTTAGTTTTTTTTTCCTCCTCTAGCCTACCCTTCCCATTGCTAGCTATTGCGGTTAAGGTACTGAAGTGTAACTCTAACTTGTCACTCCCCACTTTCAGAATTACTCAGTAACTCTTCATTTCCTAGGTAAAGTCTGCTCAGCTTGGCTGTCTGCATTCCTTGATGGGCCTCAGACAACCTCTATCCTGTCTTCTGCCACTCCTTCTCCGTAGTCCATTCAGTAGCTGCCCTAGAGTGCTTGCCTTTCTTGAGTGTTCTGTGCACTTCCATAACAGTATGCCTGTGTGTGGTCTGTTCAGACACCTTTTGCTGCTTCTCCGCCTACCCAAATCCTCTGCTTGTAGCCTTCCTAGATAATTCTGCTTCCTCCCCCCTCTCCCCCACCAAGTGAGGGAGTTAATTCATTTAGCTTGGGCGTTCATGTAGCAATTTGTGCATGTAACTGTTCTTTAGTTATAAGTACTTCGGTTTCTTTTTTTTTAATTTTTATTTAATTTTATTTTATTTTGACAGGCAGAGTTAGACAGAGAGAAAGGTCTTCCTTCCGTTGGTTCACTCCCTTAATGGCTACTATGGCCGGCGCTGTGCAGATCCGAAGCCAGGAGCCAGGTGCTTCCCCCAGTCTCCCATGCGGGTACAGGGCCCAAGCACTTGGGCCATTCTCCACTGCACTCCCAGGCCACAGCAGAGAGCTGGCCTGGAAGAGGGGCAACCGGGACAGAATCCGGTGCCCCAACCTGGGGTTCCGGTACCGCAACCGGAGGATTAGCCTAGTGAGCCGCAGCGCCAGCCTGGTTTCTTTATTTTGAAAGATAGTAAGTCCCTTGTTGGTATATGGTGACTTGTTGATTCATTTTGTAAATACTGAATTTCATCGAAGATGCCGCAGTCTGTCCCAGTCAAGATTATTACCAGACTAGCAGCAACTCCCACAAAGCTTGGCATATAAGTCAAAATGAGTCTGTAGGCTTGGCTCTGAGAGTAGCAAAATAACCTGTTGGTGTTAAATAAAACTGCATAAAGTTAAAGGTGTCTCAGGCTAAGTTGTTCTTAAATGCAGTGTTTAAAAAGCAATATTTTCTTTTTTGCTTTTGTGCTTTAGTCAAAGAAAAAAGGACTAAGTGCAGAAGAAAAGAGAACCCGCATGATGGAAATATTTTTCGAGACGGTAAGTCATTTTCCTTAAATAACTTGTGTGATTTTCATGTTAAGTTTACATCATCCAGTGTTAACTGTACCCTCTTGACTGGAGAGCAGTACTGACCAATATCTTGGGTAAAATTCTACAAACGGTAGTACCTTGAGCCGTGGAGTAGAAAGAACCATATGCACTGTTGGTAATCTTTTCTGTCCAGACTGTCCCCCAGACACCAGCACAGCTAATGATGAGGGCTGCCCAGGGTCAGTCACTGTTGGAGGCACTTGACAGACATCTGATTTCAGCCTGTTGCTTCTGTGAGGAGGGTGCTATTGCTGTCATTCTCATTATACAGACGAGGATACCTGACACAGGAGTGTCTAAGGAACCAGTCCTTGGTCTCAGAAAATAGAAGTGACAGCACCAGGATTCAAACCAGGATCATCTGACTTTAGAGGGTACACGTCCTCTTTGCATTTGTAAGTCAGGCTGTGGAATAGCACATGTACGGTGTTAACACAGGCCTCCTTAATCTATTCCATATATTTGTGCCTGTTCCTAATAGAAAATATGAGGCATCTTGGGTAAGTTTATGGAAAACGCTTTTTATGAAAAACCACGAGGGCTAGCATTACGATGCAGTGGTGCAGTGGGTTAAGCTGCCACCTGTGACCACGGCATCCCATATGAGCACATGTCTAGTACTGGCTGCTTCACTTCCAATCCAGCTTCCTGCTAATGGGAAATCAGCAGAAGATGGCCCAGGTGCTTGGACTCCTGGTACCCTATGGGGAACCCAGATGCACTTCCAGGCTCCTGGCTTCAGCCCAGCCCTGGCCATTTGGTTAGTGAACCAGCAGATGGAAGGGCTCTCTTCCCCTTCTCCTCCCTCCCTCCCTCTGCAACTCTTCTTTCATATAAAGCAACGTTTTTTTACTATACTTGATCTTAGCCAAAAGGCTGAGAAGCAATAAAGCAACGTTTTTTTAAGATTTATTTATTTATTTGAAATACAGTTACAGACAGACAAGGAGAGACACAGAGAGAGAGAGAGTGATCTTCCATCTGCTGGTTCGTTCACCAAATGGTTGCAACAGCCGAGACTGGGCCAGCTGAAGCCAGGAGCCCGGAGCTGCTTCTGGGTCTCCTATCGGGAGTACAGGGGCCCAAGGACTTGGGCCATCCTCCAGTGCTTTCTCAGGAACATTAGCAGAGAGTTGGATTGGAAGCAGAGCAGCCAGAACTCGAACTGGAGCTGCAGACAGTGGCTTGATCTGCCTAACCACAGTGCCGGCCCCCAAATCTGTTTTTTTAAAAAAAGGAAAGCAATCCATGGATAGCTCTCCTGTGAAACCCTAAATGTACAGAAATCTTGACAGTTGCCTGTTTTGCCTTTGGTTAGAACTGTTAAGTCTGTGAGGTGTGATATATGCTATCCAAAGCCCTGCTGTGTTTTTTTAAAAATTAGAATGTCAGAGAACTAATTAATTCCCTCAGGGTACCAAGTGATCCACCATAGCTGATTTTTCTACTTCAGTGGGAAGATGTTCTTTATGTTCTGATCTGCAAGTACTTTAAAGCATTGTATGCTGCTGTGAAAGTCTGTCTGCTTTAAGCTCTGTTGAGGCTATGGAATGAGAGAATTGCAGTTTCCTCTGGCTCTAAAATGCTTGTTTTTACTGCACTGTTCATTTACGTTTTTTTTTTTTTAAACAATGTTTGTGAACATAATATGGTAAATAAAAATGAGCAGCAGAAAACAAATATGTGTTTTTCATCTTTTGTAAAACTTTTTAAACAGAAAGATGTGTTTCAACTAAAAGACATGGAGAAGATTGCTCCCAAAGAAAAAGGCATTAGTGAGTATTGCTGCTGCACTGGGATACTGTGGGAAATATGTGTCATTTTTTTTCTGCAGTGGTCTTCCTCTTTATGAAAAACATAAAATTTCTAAAGGTGAAGAATGTTTGTAAGAGTCCCTATATAATGTCCATGGGCCACAGCCACAGGGCTTGTGTTTAGAGCATCTCTCTAACCCTGCCTTTCAAATAAATGTCTTTTTAAAAAGTTATTTATAGCACTTGCCTTCCAGTATTTCATTCAGTGATCACCTACTGTATCATAGTTTGCTTAGCTCTTTACCTGTTCAATATCTAGGTTGTTTCCAAATATTGCTGCTACTGAATATTTTTTTAAGATTTATTTATTTATTTGAAAGGTAGAGTTAGAGAGAAGTCTTCCATCTGGTGGCTCATTCCCCAGATGGCTGCAATGGCTGGAGCTGAGCCACATGGAGCCGGCACTGCAGCACAGGAGGTCAAGCTTCCATCTGCAGTGCCTGAATCCCATGTGGGTGCTGGTTCCATTCCCGGCTGCCCCACTTCCAATCCAGCTCTCTGCTCTTGCCTGAGAAAGCAGTGGAAGATGGCCCAAGTGCATGGTTCCTGCACCCTCATAGGAGACCCAGAAGAAGCTCCTGGCTCTGGATCAGCCCAGCTCCAGCTGTTGCAGCCATTTGGGGAGTGAATCAGCAGATGGAAAACCTCTCTCTGTCTAACTCTGCCTCTCAAATAAATAAATCTTTAAAAAAAAAATCCCCAAAACAGGTTCAAGAAACTAATATGAATGTAAATTGGTATAGCCTTTCCTGAAGGCAATTTGAGATCAAATAATAAAAAGCCTGGCCAGTGCCATGGCTCACTTGGCTGATCCTCCGCTTGCGGTGCCGGCACCCCGGGTTCTAGTCCCGGTTGGGGCGCCAGGTACTAGTCCCATGTGTTTAGGATCCTTTAAGATTTCACTTCTGTTTGTGCTTTACAAGTAGAGTTGAGCATTTTGCAAATTTAGTGGAAAAATTCAGACATTACAGTACTGGTATATTTCTTGGTACATAGGATTTCAAACATTTGTGAAATGTTTACCTGTTTATGTGGTATTTAAAAGTTAATTTTTAATTGGCATATGTAAACTGTACATATTTATGGGATACTGTGTGATATTTTCATTCATGATGTATGGTGTACTGTGTAATGTCCAATCAGGGTAAACATTAGCTCCTCAAATACTCTTTTGTTCTTGGGGCCAGCACTGTGGTGTAGCGGGTAAAGTTGCTGACTGCAGTGCCAGCATCCATATGGGCGCCCATTCAAGTCTCGGCTGCTCCACTTCTGATCCAGCTCTCTGCTGTGGCCTGGGAAAGCAGTAGAAGAAGGCCCAAGTCCTTGAGCCCCTGTGCCTACCTGGGAGACCAGGAAGAATCCCTTGGCTCCTGGCTTTGGATTGGCGCAGCTCTGGCCATTGTGGCCATTTGAGGGGTGAACCAGCAGATAGAAGACATCTCTCTCTGTAACTCTGACTTTCAATTAAATAAATAAATCGTTTAAAAAATTTATTTCATTCTGATGAAAATGTTCTAAGTCCTTTTGTTTTTCTTAGAAAAATATATGGTGCATTATTATTAGCTGTAGCCCCCTGACCATGAATAGAACCCTAGAACTTTTTATACCTTAGTGCCCCCATTAATCTTTCTCTCTCCCCTGTCCCCTATGTTTAATTTTTTTTCTGATTTTTAATCTTAACCCTGACTGGAGCATCCACTTTATTTCTTTACTTACAGTTTGTGTTTTCATAGTGGTTTTGTTTTCAGTTTTCTTTTTTAAAGATTTATTTATTTATTTGAAATTCAGAGTTACAGAGAGGGAGAAAGAGAGGCAGAGGCGGATATCTTCCATCCACTGGTTCACTCTCCAGATGGATGCAGCAGCCAGAGCTGCGCCAGGTCAAAGCCAGAAACTTGGTCTGAATCTCCATTGTGGGTGGCAGGATCCCAAGCACTTGGGCCATCTTTTGCTGCCTTTCCAGTCGCCTTAGCAGGGAGCTGGATCAGAAGTGGAGCGGTTGAGACTTGAACTGGTACATGTGAGATGCCAGTATTGCAGGAGGCAGCTTAAATGGCCACAACACTGGCCCCTGTTTTTAGTTATCTTAACAAAAGATGATACATGTTCATGGTTGAGGAAAAACAAGCAAAAAAAAAAAAAAAAAAAGGAACTAAAAATTGTCTTTCCCTACCATCCAGGGATAACCACTGTAGAATTAGTGCATACTATCCTTTATCTTCTGTTTGATACATTGTGTGTATTATATTTTGAATTTATATCCATGCCATTAAACATTATTTTGTAATAGAAACGGTAGCATAATACCCTATCAAGAAAATACTTGAAAAAATCCGGTTACTGGACTGTTTTCCAATTTTTTTGCTGTTGAAAACAGTGCTTCAGTGAGCATCCTTATGCATTTTAGTCATTTTCTTTGAATTTATTAAAGTGGAATTACTCAATAGAGGGTACATACATTAATCTAAAGTTTTTCAATACATATTGCCACATTTCTTCACCTGTGTTGAGTATCCATTTCCTTGAATTCTTTATTATATTCTTTAGTGTGTTTAATTCACTAGTTATATCTCATTGCTTTAGTTTGCATTACTTCAGTTGTTAGTGGGTTTGAATATTTTTCTTACATTTTTGCCAGGCACATTTTGTGGAGGGCCACTGATGTGCTTTTACTGTTTTTCTGTCTTTTTTGTTATTTTTAAAGCTCAATAGTTATTAGCCTATTAACTGTTGATTTAATTTGCCTTTTACGGTTATTTATGATGTTTAATGTAGAGTTTTTAAAAATTGTCTGTCTTAGCTGCCATGTCAGTCAAAGACGTCCTCCAGAGTTTAGTTGATGATGGGATGGTTGACTGTGAGAGGATTGGAACATCGAATTACTACTGGGCTTTTCCTAGTAAAGCTCTTCACGTAAGGAAACGCAAGGTGGAGGTTCTGGAATCTCAGGTGAGTCACTGTGTTTGAAAACAGTACATTTACTTTGCAGCAGATTGTTTTAATTAATTCTCTCTTTGTGGTTCCCTTTACATTTTTAATGTGCATTATTTGACCCAAAGTCTAAAGGTAGTCAACACTTGATCTTTTTCCAAAATAATATAAGGATCATAGAATATTTTAATTTTCATCTTCCCACATGTGATGATATTGCTAGTATTTTAGTCCTTTTAGTTTTAGATTATTATTTTTTCTTTAGAGTCTTAGCTTTACTGAAAAATTGCTGGAAAAGTAAGGCATAAGAAACACCTGCCCTCCTTTCCCTCACCACATACACATTTGCTCTTGTTTACACCGTGTATTCGTGTGAAACGTGTATGACAACTGATGCCAATGCTGGGATCTAATTATTAATTAAAATCCATAGTTTACACTAGGGCTCACTCTTTCAGTTTATATTCTGTGGGTTTTGGCAACTGTGTGATAACATGTGTCCACGGTTTCAGTATCCTAGGAAGGTGCACTGCTTGGTTTCATCTGTTTCTGTTACTGTACTGAAATGCCTGAAGCTGGATAATTTATTTATTTTTAAAGATTTGTGTATTTTCTTGGAAGTCAGAGTTAACAGAGAGAGGGAGAGACAGAGTGATGAGTCTCGCAGGGGCCTCTCTGGCTGCATCACCTCTTGACAGATGGCTTCATAGGGACCGGACTGCATGTGAGAGGGAGAGGTGACGTTAGAAAACAGGGACGACAGAGCAGAGACAGGTCTGCGTTGTAAGCTGCGATTAGGTCCCTAGGACCAAGTTCCCAACACGTAAACCCTTGGTGGGAAAGACTCAAAAATATATCCAGTCACAGCACTGCCCTGAAATCCTTTGTGTTCCACCTGTTCATCTCTCCCTACCTACCTGCCAGCTGCTGGCAACCATTGAGCTTCTTACTGTCTCCATAGTTTTGCATTTCCCAGTGTTGTAAAGTTGGAGTTTTACAACATGTCCTTCAAATAGGTTTCTTTCACCTAACGATGTAAATTTCTTCCATGTCTTCTGGTGGCTTCATTTCTGGCGCTTCATTTCTGGTACTTCATTTCTGTTCATCACATATGGAAATACCATCATATGGAAATACCACCAGTTGATTATCCATTGAGCTATTGAAGAAATCTCAGGGGCTGGTGTTGTGATGCAGGTGATCAAATCAACATTTGCAACACTGGCATCACATGTCGGGGGCTGGTTCAAACCTGGCCACTCTGCTTCTGCCCCAGCTCCCTGCTCATGCACATGGGAATGCGACAGATGATGACAAATGTCTGGGCCCTGGCCACACAAGTGGGAGACTTGGTTGGAGTTCCTGGCTTCCTGACTTCAGCCTGGTCCAACATTTGCTGTTGTAGCCATTTAGGGAATGAACCAGTGGCTGGAAAATAGTTTGTTCAATATGTCTCTCTCTTTGCCTTTCAAATAAATCAATACTTTTTTTTATTTTTTTATTTTTTTTATGTTTTTTTTTTTTTAACTTTTATTTAATGAATATAAATTTCCAAAGTACGATTTATGGATTACAATGGCTTCCCCCACATACCGTCCCTCCCACCCACTACCCTCCCCTTTCCCACTCCCTCTCCCCTTCCATTCACATCAAGATTCATTTTCAATTATCTTAATATACAGAAGATCAGCTTAGTATACCTTAAGTAAGGATTTCAACAGTTTGCTCCCACACAGAAACATAAAGTGAAAAATAATAGATGATTTTTTTTAAATGATGATGAAATCAGATCAGACCTATTGTCATGTTTAATCCCAGTGAGAGTCAAGTTGGGAATTGATAATTTCTTTTTTTTTTTTTTTTTTTTTTTACAGAGGATCAGTTTAGTATACATTAAGTAAAGATTTCAACAGTTTGCACCCCCATAGAAACACAAAGTGAAATATATTATTTGAGTACTCGTTATAGCATTAAATCTCAATACACAGCACATTAAAGACAGAGATCCTACATGAGGAGTAAGTGCACAGTGACTCCTGTTGTTGACTTTACCAATTGACACTCCTGTCTATGGCATCAGTAGTCTCCCTATGCTCCAGTCATGAGTTTCCAAGGCTATGGAAGCCCTCTGAGTTCTCCGATTCTTATCTTGTTTAGACAAGGTCATAGTCTAAGTGGAGGTTCTCTCCTCCCTTCAGAGAAAGGTACCTCCTTCTTTGAAGACCTGTTCTTTCCACTGGGATCTCACTCGCAGAGATCTTTTGCCAAAGTGTCTTGGCTTTCCATACCTGAAATACTCTCATGGGCTTTTCAGCCAGATCCGAATGCCTTTAGGGCTGATTCTGAGGCCAGAGTGCTATTTAGGACATCCGCCATTCTATGAGTCTGCTGAGTATCTCACTTCCCATGTTGGATCACTCTCCCCTTTATTTATTCCATCGGTTAGTGTTAGCAGGTACTAGACTTGTTTATGTGCTCCCTTTGACTCTTAGTCCTTTCATTATGATCAATTGTGAACTGAAATTGATCACTTGGAATAGTGAGATGGCATTGGTACATGCCACCTTGATGGGATTGAATTGGAATCCCCTGGTATGTTTTTAACTCTACCATTTGGGGCAAGTCAGCTTGAGCATGTCCCAAATTATACATCTCTTTTTTTTAAAACAGAGCATTTTGTTTGTTTCTAAATTATATAAAACTGCTATAAACATTTTTATGCAGATTTTTTTAAAAAGTTTATCTTCATTTTACGTGAAATACACAGAGAAATGGAGAGATCTTACATCTGCTGGTTCTCTCCCCAAATGCCTGCAACAGCCAAGGCTGAGTGAGGCTGAAGCCTGGAGGCTGGAATTCCATTTAGGTCTCTCACATGAGTGGCAGGGACTCAAGTCCTTGCCATCATGTGCTATGTCCCAGGGCGCACATTAGCAGGAAGCTGAATTGGAAACAGTAGGCAATCGGTAAAGGAGGGGGCATCCCAAGTGGCAGTTGACTGCTGTGCTGAACATCCACCCCATGTGCAGGTTTTTGTGTGGTCGTTACTTTTCATTTCATTTGGGTAAATACCAAGGAGCATGGTTGCTGGATTGTGTGGTAAGCACAGGTTAAGTTTAAAGAAACTGCCAAGTTGCCATCTGAAGAGACTATGCTGTTTTGCATTGTCAGCTGCAGTGATCAGAGTTCTGAATGTTCCATATCAGTGCCAGCATTTAGTGTTGTCAGTATTTTATATTTCAGTTGTTCTAATAGACTTGTAATGGTATCTTTTTTTAATTTGCAACCCCCTAATGACATATATTGTGGAGCATTTTTTTAAATTGTTTTATTTATTTATTTGAGAGGTAGAGTTACAGACAGAGGGAGAGACAGAGAGAAAGGTCTTCCATCTGATGGTTCACTCTCTAAATGTCCAAAGCCAGGATCCCAGAACTGCTTCAGGGTCTCCCACGTGGGTGCAGGGGCCCAAGTACTTGGGCCTTCTCCCACTGCTTTTCCAGGCCATAGCAAAGAGCTAGATCGGAAGAGGAGCAGCTGGGACTCAAACCGGCGCCCATATGGGATTCCAGCGCCACAGGTGGAGGCTTAGCCCACTATTCCACAGCACTTGTCTTGTGGAACATCTGTTTTATGTGCTTATTTTGCCACCTATATGAGAGGAGCTGTTTGTTTAAACATTTTGGCCATTTTAAAGTTGGGATTTTTTTGTTACTGAGTTTTAAGAACTTTTGTATACTTAAGACACCAATTATTTATCAGATGTGATTTTCAGATATTTTTCTACCAGTCCATGGTTTTTTTGTTTCATTCTGCTAACAGTGTCTTAGACAAAGGAGATGTTTTCAGTTTTTCTTTCATGGATTACCCTTTGCGTGTTATCTTATACAACACGGCTAGAATCCAGATCTGGATTTTGTCAGATGGTGTCATCTAGGAGTTTTATGGTTTTGTGTTTTATATTTAGGCTTACTGTCATTCTGAGTTAATTTTTGTCAAAGGTTTAAGATCTGTTTAAAAGTTTCTTTTTTGTATGTAGATATCCAGAGTAACTGTATTTTATTATTTATAGATTTAGTTTTATTTATTTGAAAGAGTTAGAGAAAGAGAGAGGGAGGTCTTCCACTCACTGGTTCACTCCCCAAATGGCAGTAATGGCCAGAACTGAGCAGATCTAAAGTTCAGGAGCCAGGAGCTTCTTCTGGGTCTTCCATGCGGGTGCAGGGGCACAAGGACTTGGGCCATCCTCCACTGCCTTCCCAGGCCACAGCAGAGAGCTGGATTTGAAGAGGAGCAGCTGGGACTAGAACCGGTACCCATATGAGATGTCAGGGTTTTAACCCACTGCACCACAGCACTGACCCCTAGAGTAACTCTATTTTAGTATAATTTCTTTTGTAATCCTATGCATTTTATTTAATGGGTTAAAAATATTATTTTCAAGAAGGAATCCTAACTGAAGTACATTTTTTGGTAATTCAGCCAGAGTTTAAGAATAGACTTGTCAATCTTTGTTTGAAAATGTCTATAATTTACCATTGCTTCTTGAATAAACAAGGGTACTCCAAAATGTGCCTGGAATTGGTATCAAAAGCAAGACCCCCAAGCTGCCTTTATAGCACTTTGGAAGGAAGTTGGGGGGCCGGCACCGTGGCTCACTTGGTTAATCCTCCACCTGTGGCACTGCCATCCCATGTGGGCTCTGGTTCTGGTCCCAGTTGCTCTTCTTCCAGTCCAGCTCTCTGCTGTGGCCCTGGGGGGAGGGGGGTGGGCAGTGGAGGGTGGCTCAGGTGCTTGGGCCCCTGCACCCACATGGGAGACCAGGAAGAGGCACCTGGCTTCTGGCTTCAGATCAGCGCAGCGCCGGCCGTGGCGGCCATTTGGGGAGTGAACCAACAGAAGGAAGACCTCTCTCTCTCTTTCTCTCCCTCTCTCTCTCTCCAACTCTACCTGTCCAAAAAAAAAAAAGAAGGAAGTTGGACTGGAAGTAGAGTAGCTGGACTCAAACCTGCACTCTG